GTCTTCGGGGTCCTATAACTCCAATAATAGTGGTATATAAATATATCTATATCTATATCTATATCTACATCTACATCTACATCTATATCTATATCTATATCTATATCTATATCTATATCTATATCTATAGCTATATCTATATCTATATCTATATCGGGTTTAGGGTTTAGGGTTTAGGGTTTAGGGCTATATATCTATGGACCCTCTGGCTTCTAAACCCACAACCTCCATCCCTACCAGTAATCCGGCAAGTTGCCTTGAATAAGCCCGGGTAGCTGGGGTGTGCAGGCCCTATAAACCCTAAAAGCGAAACTCTAATAAACCGTAAGCCCTAATAGAGGGTAGCTGGGGCGATCAGGCAGCGGGTGTTTGGGCGGGGACTTGCTGGGTTTCGCGCTGCAAAGCCTGGCTTCTTTCGCCAGCTGTAATAGGCGTTTCGGGTTGAGGGTTTGGCATTATCTTCGGACTCCAGAAAGATAAACATGCTACACCCCTTACACTGCTCAGCAAGTCCAAGCCCCCGTACTTGGAGGTTCATGGGACTTAATAAGTACAGTTATATGTACCCCAATTGGGGTTATATGTATAGTTGCCTTATTTATAACCCTAGTTGCTAAGTCCCATGAACCTTTAAGTACCCCCTCCCCCCTCCCCACCCGAACCCAAGTTTTTCGGTGTGCAGGCTGTGAAGCGCTTGGCGAATCTTGCAAAAGCTCTGCTGCCGCACCTTGAGGCTTCTGGCTCTTTTAACACTACCCAGAGAACCCGATACCCCTTAATTAAGGAATATACCTTGAATCATAGGGGCCTTTATATTATGATTTAAGGTATATTCCTTAATTAAGGGATATTGGGTTCTGTGGGTACTTTGGGGTTCCTTATCATGATCATAGGATAATGGGCCCCAAAACCCTGTTCTAAGTACTAAGGCCCCTACATCATTCCTCTAGATATGTGTACGGAAGAGGCTGGGAGAGGTGACGTTCATCGACCGTGTTTCTCGATTTTCAAACAAATTTTGTGAGGATGCATCGGTTTTCAAGTATTTTATATGACTGGAAAGTTCAGGGTTCGGGGTAAATGGTGTGTGAAGCAGTAGCTCCGTCCTAAAGCCTTGGACGGAAGCCCCGAGTGATATAACGCAGCAGGAACTGATGAGGACAATGACCTGAACAAAGCCAATGTAAAGTCTAAAGCCCTCTACCCTAAACGCAAGTTAAGACAGCCTCAGCCCAAAGCTCCTACACCTCTAAACGCACTACCCTAAAGCGGTCCCTAAATTGCCAACACCGAGGCCAACGCCCCAAACCCTAAACTCTGAACCCAGAGCCCCTCCATGATCTTGCACACAAAAATAGAACCCCCCCCAAACAAAACAGGTATCCCACCAAATATACGCATTAAGGTAAGCCTGAACCTAAAAAGGGGTTCTAGTTTGTCGGGATCCTCCCGGTGATCAAGGAACCTCGAGTTCTCAATGCACCATACCTGACCAGGACCTCCTAAAAAGGGTTTAGGGTTTAGGGTTTAGGGCGCTTCGACAAAGGCCTTCTCGTGCTTCAGAGAGGGTAGTTGGGGCTTCAGGGGTTACCAGGAGCCCCCAAGTGATGACAACCAGTGCAAACGCCAGAAACTTGCCTATCGAGGTCTTTTCCATAGCGAGCAGTTAGGGGCATGGCATCTTGGTACGACAGTGCTCAGGAACCGGGATGGCGGACCAATAAACCCACAAACTTGCCCCTCGCCTGCGTAGCATGCCAGCTATTCTGAGCGTTCTGACGGCGCTGTGCCCAGAGAACCCAGTACCCCTTAGTTAAGGAAATATACCTTAAATCATAATATTAAAGCCCCTTTGATTTAAGGTATATTCCTTAATTAAGGGGTATTGGGTTCTTTGGGTGAGGCAACCGGCAATAGCTTCGACCTGTGCGACATTGCCGGATGGCTGAAGGCACTGGCTTTTCGGTTTAGGGTTTAGGGTTTAGGGGGCTTTTTGGGAGTCAGGCATTGCCTTAGTGATTGGCAGACTTACCCTGGGGCTCCAAATACCCCAAAGTAGGTACTATTTATAGACTTTAGACCCCAAAGTAGGTACTATTTGTATACTTGGAGCCCTAGGGTTCTAGTTAAGAACTATTGTCATGCCTCGGCACTGCGTTCGCCGAAACCCTAAACGCTACTGCCCTACCCCAAACCTAATCTTTAACATGTGCGGGTCAGAACTTTGACCAATCAGGATATACAGCCCCGCACATGTCCATCATTGACCGCCGCAATGTCGTTTTGCCTCTGTACTTGTCGCCATTTAGGATTGTCCCGCTAATAACTGAAAGGCCGCATGCTTCCAAGCGAGGAAACCTTTCCGCCCCAAGCATATTCATTCTTGAGATGTTAAGCACACCGTTTGTGTGTGTCTCTTTGAAAGGTTCCTGTATGCACTATTCTTGTTGCGCCTAGGGACACCATACGCAGGTTGTAGGTCATCGGTTCAACACCTCCTTGTGCACGTACGTAGCTAGCGTTTACCAAAGTGGAGAGGTGTGAAAGTCGTGAAGGGCGGTTGCTTTACATGACATGTTGCAAGCATCGCTCCAACCAGGCCGGACCTGGTATAGGGTTGGGGTCTAGATAAGTTTGGGGAGAGTCATCTTTGAAGGACCATTTATCTGAACAGTTCACTTTGGATGTGCAGGAGTGACTTACTCGTTGTAGCTCCGGGGGCCAAGGCATGTAAACCCTAAACGCCCTAAGCCTTACATCTCAAGTTTCCCAGACCCATTGAAGGCATTTTGCGAAAAAAGGGGACTCACGACAGGTGGCTAGCCAGGCAATGGGGTTTAGGGGCTTAGGGTTTAGAGCATATTCTGACGTCAAGAAGCTCTAGCAACGCCCTAAGTTCACAAGGTCATGATTTAGGGTATTTAGGGTTTAGGGTTAGTACTAGCAGACAAGCCGGGTCGGGGTACTGAGATACTTGTACAGGGGCTATCACGTATCAACTGGGTGTTTTACGCATCTGCACGGCGTCTACTTCGGGGAACGCATTATAGACGTTTATCATCTTATCAAGCTCTGTATCTTCACGCACGCTCTCGCATCTGTCAGTGTCAGTGGGATTGCACGTGCCCCTCTTCGCACGAGTGTGTGCTTGTGTATTGCAGATTACAAGTG